GGCATATGTTTTACTGTCTGATACTGAATGCATGAGGAAAGACAATCTGTTTTTTCAGCCTGAACAAATATATGATCCAGATTGAACCACTAGAGGCCAAATATAATTGCTGTGTGTTTTGCTTTCTACTACTCACTACGTACAGCAGCATCGTCTTGTCTAGCATGTCATCATAACACACAGTTCAAATGATGGCATTGGAAAATACTTTTTCCTCTATTGAGGGTTATAAAATGACTATCCAGGGCTTAATGTAACCCTCTACACTTCATCTGTCACTGGAGAAATAGTTCATGATAGGAAACAGCTTATACACTTTGACACAACAGGGTTTGAACCTTATTTATTTTTGCTGGACAGATCCTTGTTTAACGTCTAGCCAGGTGAAAGGTGTTGCTGCATCCTTCATGCCTTCACTTCTAGCTGGGGAAAAAAAGAAGTGCTTGGTCTGAGTAAACAGTTTACATTATAAAAGATAGAAAGCAAATCCTGACTACTGGTTTACTTCGAAGGAAAGCACTACAGTGTAAGTAAAGTACAGAAAATATCCCAAAACACTTAATCTTTTTAATTTTGTTCCTACTATTGTGTTTTAGAGCACCTAGAAGTACGCATCTAGTTTTGTAAGGCTAATAGGACTGGGTTTATGTCCTCCCCCAAAGTGCTTACAGTCTAATTTTAGCCAGAATATGCTGAATGGCAGTAAAAAAAGTGTTCAGTGTTGGAGGGAAGAATGAGGGATAAAGGAGCAAGAACTGAATGTGTGAGTGGATAAATGCAAATATTTTTCTTTTATTCTTTAATAATAATAATAATAGCAATGCTTCATTCCTTTTAGAATTTCTGGAAAAACTGAGTATAAAAGGTTATAGAGGTTTGGAAAAATATCTTTCCAAGACTCTTATGTATGCTGTGAGGATTGTTTCTGCTTTTCATGGAAAATCTGCAGAACTATGTTTACCAGGTGCTAATCTAAAGTGCACCTGGCTTTCCTGAATATTTACCTTTATTTTGATTAATACACAGCTTAACTGTACTGATTCCCTCTCCTGACTCACTTTTCCCATCTATCGTGAATTAACGCTGTGCCCACAGTGATCTTCTAAATCACAGTTTAAAGAACTATGGAAAAACAAGTGGTGGATGAGTGGAGGATGGTTTTGTGACTGCAGGAGTGGGCTGGGACTTAAAAGGTTCAGGTTTATTCTACACATAAAGACTTTCCGTGTAGGCTTAGGCACGTTCCTTACCTTTTCTATGACGTGGTCTCCATCTATGATATGGGAACAACAAGCTTGCTTTTTTCCTGCTGTGTCTGTTTTCTGTAATTGTGCCATAAGAGGTCTCGTCCAAGTGAAAACTTGTACTGTGTGTTTGGATAAGACCCAGTACAACTGGGCCTCCAATTTAGTTGGTATTACTGGAAAACAACTAAACAAGAGCAATTTTTAATACCTAAACACAAAGGAAGTAAGAAAATATAATTTTAACTGATTCAGGACTAAAGAAATTCAGCAAAATAAATTACAACCTTTTACCATAAATTCTTAGTCACTTCTTAATTTTATTTTGCCCTCCGCGCAAGCTTTAATGAGGAGAAACCACATTTATGCCCATGTCAGTAGGATGTAATTATAGGGGATTGTATCTGAAGACTGTAGCAGCTGAAACTACTAGTAATGTTCTGGGAGATTTTCCTATATTAAAAAGAGTGGGGATGAAGGGGAGCAAAATTACTCACAAGGTGGATTTTTGTCATTTGAATGAGTCTTTTATGAAATCTTTAAGCATATATATGCTGATCTTAACGTTTCCTTAGTCTAGAAGATAGACATGCAATGGTATGTGTCAGAGACATATCCAGACCCTCCTGGATACTGTTTTTACTTACACTTCTCAGTAGAGCTTATGAGGCAGGGTCCTACCAGATTTGATTTTCAGAGTAGAACTTCTCCCTGGCAGCGAAGTGATTGCACTACAAAATGTGCCTCCAGTATCTTACTACATTGCACATCAGATTTTCTACTAGGAATTCTGAAGGAATGGACTTATGTTTTTGTCTAATGTACTGGATATATTACAACACTACTGTATTACAGTACTATGGAAAGTCCATATGTTACAATGGAAAGAGTAATTTTAGCTCCTTAATTGCTCACTTCATAGTCAGACCAGGGCCTTTTCCAGCCAAGTTCTGAAATTTCAGAGATTTCAGAGATTTGAACACAGATTTCACAGCATGGTAACCTGACCCTCGCTGGATGCCAGGTGCCCACCAAAGCTGCTGTATCACTCCCCTCCTCACCTGAACAGGGGAGGGAAAACAATGAAAGCTTGTGGGTTGAGATAAGGACATGAAGAGATCTCTCACCGATTACCATCATGGGCAAAACAGACTTGACTTTGGAAAAATTAATTTAGTTTATTACTAATCAACTCAGAGTAGGGTAATGAGAAAATAAACACAAATCTCAAAACACCATCACCCCATTGCTTCCTTTATCATGGGCTTAACTTTACTCCCAGTTTCTCTACCTCCTCACTCGCAGTGGCACAGGGGGACGGGAACTGTGATCAGTTCATCTCACATTGTCTCTGCCCCTTCTTCCTCCTCAGGGGAGGACTCCTCACACTTCCTCTACTCCATTGTGGGTCCCTTCTATGGGTGCAGTCCTGCAGGAACAGGCTGCTTCAGAACTGGTCTCCCGTGGGATCACAAGTCTTGCAGCAAACCTGCTCCACTGTGGGCTCCTCTCTCCATGAGGCCACAGGTGCTGCCAGAAACTTCAGCACAGGCTTCACATGGCATTACAGGCTCCTTTGGGCATCCCTCTGCCCCAGTATAGGGACGCCCCTTCCTTCTTCTCCCCCCAGCTTCCCTCTCCTCTTTCCTAACTATGTTATCCCAGAGGCACTACCACTGTCACTGATGGGCTCAGCCTTGGGCAGCAGTGGTTATGACTTGGAGCTGACTGGAATTGACTCTACCAGACACAGGGGAAGCTTCCAGCAACTTCTCACAAAAGGCCACCCCTGTAGCACACGCTGCTCCCAAAACCCTGCCACCCAAACCCAGTACGCACAGCCTCCCTGGGCAACTTGTTCTGGTACTGAACTACATTCGCACTGACTTTTTTCCCCTTAGAGGTAGTCATAATTTTCTTCCCTGCAAAATGTGTCCTCTATGCCTTCTTCATAAACAGAATTAGATAGCTGAGGGCAACAGTCAGAGGTCTCACCATCCCTTTGTCGAAGCTGGACAAACCCAGATCTACTACTGTATGTCATGAGCTGCAGCCCCAGCCACCTTTGTGGCCCTCCCACTGCACTTGCTTCAGTCTGTCCATCTCTCTCCCATGCTGGGAAGCCTCAAACTGGGTACAACACTCCAGATGTGGTCTTTCAGATGCCCAACAGTGGGAAATACTCACTTCCCTCAACCTGCTGGATAAATTCTTACTAGTACAGCTCAGTATACTAGTGTACACTAGTGTAAACTGCTGAGATGTTCAACTTGGCCACAAGAAAAACACACATACACTTCCTGTTACTCTTCTGAAAAGCTGCTTTCTGTGTCTTCAGAATTATTGTGCTGGTTAAAGGAAACATCATGTGGAGGAGCATGTGCATCTTCTATAGAGATCAGTAATTTCGATGCTTTTCCCTTTTTCCTTGGAAGAGATTTCAGTCCTTTCTGTACCAGGAAGGAGCTATTTTCACTGTCGTAAAGATATGTATCTGCGTTAATTACAGTACCTATTCATGTTGTGTTAAGGCATCTGCTAATAAGAGTCCCAGCAAGTCAGACAAAAGCCAAAGGCCTGCCCTTTTTTGGTTGACTCATTGCCCAGCATGACTGACAAGCATTTCACTTGTCTTGTTCCAAGAAAGAAAATTAGCAAAACATTGATAGAATCAATTACTACTGCTTGCAAAATCTAATACAAGATTTTAAAATACAGAACATGCACTGCCTTGCAGTCCTTCAGTGTGCTGTCTGGCTGCTGATTAGTCAATTCATGGTGTTATGGGTGAAATGTACTTCTTTTCTGATCCAATTCATAGATGGCTTCACCAGTACAATTGTATTATTAATGGTGAAGCAGTACAATAAGAAAAGTTATTTGTTATCCATATTGAAGGCCTCAAAGCTCTGCAGGCTTATGTCTGCAAATACCACATGTGCTGTATGCTGTAAGGATCAGACATGGGATATGCAAGAATTTCTACAGCGATACTGAGTGTTTGATCTTCCTTGCAAATAGATTTAGCAGCACGTTGGTGATTTGCTTTGCCTAGGTGTATTTGTCAGTACACAAAACATGCAAGCTCAAAACTGTGGTCATGTTTTCCCAACTGTAGTAGCATGACTTGTGTAAGACTTGCTTCATTCACTCTCCTGTTTTAACTTCTTCAGTGGATTGTATGGTATTAAATTTGTTCCCAGAATGGATCCTGTTCATTTAGGGCAGTGATGCCGCAAGTCAACTACCTCTCAGATTCTGATAGTTTGTACATGAAGTCTGTTGCTCAGAAAGAAGTTGTTTCAGATGGGCAGTTGGGTTCAGTATGTATCTTATCTCTTCAATAAGCTCAAACAGCAGGATATTTGTGGTCAGTTGTGGAAGAAATGATTTTTCAGACGTGGGAGAGGACTCTCCTATTGGTTAGCTTTCTTCAAAGCCACTAATTATATCTGGACTGCATAGAGGATTGTGATACCAAAAGTAGCAGTATCTGCGTATATTGGGTCATTTCTTGAAGAAAATCTTTTGTCTTGTGCATGTTTCCATTAATTCTACCAGTGCTGCTCAGAAGCATGTGGCTTTAGTAATAGGTTGTTCTAATGTCTTTAATGAACCAAGTAGTGGTTGAATTCCCTTCTATTAATGAAGACTGTTCATTGATAGCCTTCTACTAATTTTGGTGAAGTAGGATCAATATGGACACTGGGTCAGGGTTCTGAAAAATATTAATTATTAATATTCTTTCTTTTTCAGTTTTCTCCTTGTGTTTGGTTGCTTGATTTTGTCCGTGTTTTCTACTATTCCTGAACACACAAAACTTGCCTCTGGTTGTCTCTTCATTTTGGTAAGTGGAACTTCTAAATACAAGATAGTTTACTTTTATATAGATTCAAATCCTCTCCTTCTCCCTCACCATGGAGAAAATAGTATAATTCCTGAATTCTTTAAGAAATCAGAATTTTCATCAGAATGATGAAAAACTAATAAAATAAAGGATTCCACCATCTTTTTCTTTAAAAACAGTGTTAATGCTGTATTGCATCCCCTTCTTTGCTTGAGAATTGCTGTAGTTTATAACTGATAGTTTTTCTACTGCAGTTTGGCAGTGACTGAGCATGAAAGACCTTTGATACTGCTCCTGCCATTTATAAAGTCAGTATGTAGTAAGAGGCACTTAAAATAGGAAATAATTTTGGTATCTTAGATACCAATTTGTGCTAGCTATTGGTAGGTACTAACATTTTAGTGGCAGTTGCAGCAGTAGGATGTGGTAGTTTTAGTATTTCTTCATAACACATGGTTTTGTATTATGTTTATCTCTCCTTTTTCCCTCCTGAGGTAGATGTAAATGGATTTAATCCCTTAAAGTGCTTAACATTTTTCATGTGTTATATGGATGCCACTTTATTCATCTGTTTCTTGATGGGCCATTTAGTTCTGCAAGTGATGGCCTGAGGATAGGCAGTAGTGATCATTAAAATGTCACTATATACCCAGAGTTACCATGGTTATTTCAGTCCCAGGTGTACAGCAGACTGTGGCTCGTTAGGTAGTGCCTGGGGTGAAGCAACTGTTGACAAATGCCAACATTTTAGTTACCATCGCCATCTATATCCAAAAGCTCTGGTCTTCAGAACAGCTCCCTAATTAATTATGGCATGAGCAGGCCAATAAGCATTGGCATATGGTTTATGCTATATCTCTACAGCACAGTGTGCCGCTGCATCAAGATACCTGAACTAAACATCCAGAGCTGTCTAGGTGCAGATGTGTGATATTTTGCTCTATCTGATGATTTTGTAGCAGGGCTAATTAGAGGAGCTGTGCTAAATGTGGTATTTTGCTTCTCTAGCCATACTAGTGTTTTTTCTTTTTCTGGAGAAAAGATCAGGTGCCATTAAACCAGTTCAAAGTGATCAGATTTAATCCCACACTCCTATCTAGTCCCATTGTTTATATATCTGAATAACAGTTTGCAAGTGAAATTTTGTTTGAACGTTCTGCAGCTAGCTATAATATTGCAATTACTACACTAATTGCTAAGATTTTCTGGTATAGAAAACAGGAAAATTTTATTAGTCTGAAAGTACCCTCTTTCTAGTAGCAGGTGCTTTTGTGACAAGTAATCTGTTTCCCTGTATACTTATCCTAATTAGTTGTAGAAACACCATTTGTTCTGCCATAATATATGCATTTCCCATGAGCCACATATTTGCTGATTGTGTTGGTATGCTTACCACTGTTGATTTCTCAGCTGGATGATAAACACATTCCCTGTGCTTTGCCATGGCTCTCCTAGGAATCTGAATGTGAAGGAGCCCTGCTAAGTCCTGGGTTTGCTCCCACCGTTGGGCAGAGGTGAGCTCTGCTAGCTGATACACCAATCCTTGTAGAGGTGTCCATCACTGAAGCAGAGTTGCTTGGGAAACTGTGATGCTTTCTGTTGCTGCAGCTTCAAAGATGGACTTTTTCCATCTTAAGAGTTCTGACTGTACATCCTGTGGCATCTTCTGAACACAGAAATAGCCTTGAGGAGGAAGAGGATGGATGGTTAATCTTTGAAGTATCAATACTAGCCTGGTCCAACATTTCTATGCTATAGCCTAGTGTGTTCAGCAAACCCTTGGCAGGAATAAATCTGTGATGACGAATTTTACGGTTGCTGCTGTGGGTCTGTAATGGAGAAAAATATAAACACAGCAAAGTATGAAGTTCCAGAAGCAGGCTAAAGCTGACTGATTTATTCCAGTTTGCTGATGCATGATTTGCTCCTCTGCATATTGAATCATTAGCTGATACTAGCAATGTTATCAAAGCAGTCTTTTGCAACCACAAACCAAGAGAAAAATACATTTCTACATTAACTCAGGAGCAGTTGTTTTGGCTGTACCAATACATAACTGCAGTCACTAGAGTTTGCGCAACCTTTTCCTTGCAGTGATTCACACAGCTCTTACAAATGTGTCATTTAGTAAAAAAAAAAAAGTTGTATTAACTATCAGAGATCTGGTTTAATACTGTTTTGCTTCATGCCTGAGATGGAAGATATATGTTTATTTGCTAATGAAGTACCATGCAAATATGCCAATCCATAATGCTGCCTGCTGGGTTTCTGTTAACTGTTTGCTTTGCAGATTTATTCCAGATGGTCCCCCCTACAGCCATGTTAATTGGCTAAAATCTAATGTCATGTTCCTTCAGCTTAATACCTGAGCTTCTGCCTGTGCTGGTACCTGTGGCTTTTGACATACTGCAGCTATTCACAGCAACGCAGGGAGTTTAAAGAAAGAAGTGTAGATGAGGTGAGCAAACCTTTCCCTTCTCAGAAAGGCCAGAGGAGTGGAGATTACTGTTCTGTGATCAGTCAATTCCATTTATCTCCCGCAGCCTTTCCTTAAAAGGGAGCAGAAAACATATCTCCTAATCACTGCATCCTGAATACTCTCTCAGAAACATACAGCAGTGTGTGATAGCTCAAAGTAAGTAATTGCTTAGGAAAACAGTATTAGCTGAGGGTTTCTGAGCTTCAGCAGAGGCTAATAGACTCATCTGGACTGCAGAAATGCCTGAGCTCTACTCCTACAGGCAACACGAACCTGCCCTGCTGTGGTGTGCCGTACACAGCCAGGGCTTCAGCTCCGGCATCTGCACAAGTACTACTGTGTTCCTAGGCATCTTCCACTTATCAGGGGGCCTGTCAAGGGAAGCGCATTTAGTATTTGATTTTTAACCTTAAAATTAAAGTCCTGCAGATAAGTGCATGTTACATGCAGTAATGTTGGACTGTTAAAACAGTAATTAACTTGGTTAGATCTATGTCCAGAAATAATAAGCCTAACCACGGGGAGAGCATCAGATAAAGCTCCTTATACCTACAGTGATAATCATGTTTTAACCTCTCTGTGCACACAGCTTCTGGCACCAGAGTTGTAGCAGTGATATATCCAAGACAGACAATAGAATAAAATCTACTTCGACATCAAAAAAACCACAAGCAGCTTAAGAATCCAACTAACACAGCAAGAAAACGATCTTTGGTGTATTGCTGATCTCCTACAAATACATTTGCTGGCACTTTATCAAATAATAAACACAAGAGAAGTAAAACTTGGGCTGGGAAGGCAAAATCAAATCTTTTGGGGAAGATAGCCAAGATGGAATATATCTGGAACTGGAGTTCGTTCACTCTCATGACCAAACCCTCTGTATTTTAAGATCATTTTCAACTAAAGCTATGTGAATAACCAGTTCGCTTCTGTTTGTTTGCTGTCAATTCAAGAAAATAAATGAAATCATTTGAGTTGACCCGCAGAGATTTGGCAAATCGAGAAGTCCAAAAAAAGTTTTGGATCACATTAAATGCTTCATTTGACCTGGCATAAAATGTTATTTGAGTATTTGAGCATTCTAGAATTTTTGGCTTAAAAGTAAAATTGAGTCTGTAGGAAAGAAATGTCATTATTATTTGAAGTGACAAAACATTCCATTTTTTTCCATAATTTTAATATTTAATCAAGGTGGAAAAATTGCAGAAATCGTGAATTTCTGCAGGACTGGTTTTGTCAGATCTGGTTTGTGTTCTTCTCTGAAGAAAGAAAGCTGCACTCAGTTCTGTAGGATAAGGGCCCCTGAAAATGTACTCTAGGAACACATTCTTCAGGCAGAAATAGCTCCCAAAGACATAAAAGCAGAAAGAGCGCAGTCAATGAAGCTAGCTTCTACATGTACTGTGGTCACTTGCATGAATTCAAAAGGACAGTCTAGTAAGTGCTTTTAGCAATTAAGATCTTCCTAAGATTTTTCTGTTTTAACATTTTCCCATAAAAGAAACATAGAAAGAGGATGAACGTTGATTAAAAAACATAGGATATAGCTGCCTCCTAGCAGGCAAGCATATAGTCAATTTGTCTCTGCTCTAGGGGAGTGTATCCATGCACAGCTATGTAATCATAGAAATCTGCTACAAAATTTTAAAGCTGGGCAGAGTGGATTTTAAAAAAGGAGGTGGGTAGAGCTCAATTCAGAAAAGCAGCATTTTTTTAGTTTAGGTTTCTTGTCCCACAACGTGAATCCTCTTGCAACACTTGGATAAAAGGCCACCAGACCTGAGCAGAGAACTGGATGGGTGGCTTTCCAGGACCAGATAACAAGAAAAAACTGAATGATCTTGAGAGATTTCAATTGCAAATACATTTCTAACAATGCACTTTCATTGACTCCTCTCGAGAGAAACGGATAAACTGATCCCTGAGCCAAAAAAATCTGTGATTTTCAAGTTTGCTAGAGCTTGTCAAAACTCAGGATTACTATTTTTAAGTAAATACTAATTTCCAATGTTTCTTTTCTCCAAAATCAAAAGATGGCTTTGAAATTTCAAAATTTCTGCATAGAAATCTCTGAAAAATTACTTCTGTTAGAAGTGCAACACTGATGTCAAAGACAGAATAAGAGAGGGAAATGTAATGTTGATAAGGTCAAAGCCTTCATGTTTTCAGTCTTGTTTGGATTCACATACACTAATATTATAATAAGGTAATAACATGAGCATAGAACAATTCAAGCATGTCATAATAAATTACCTGTTAGCTTTGAAAGAAAATGTTTTTACCCTATTAAAATAAATAATTTCATGCCTTCACTGATTAAATTTATACTCTCCTATTCTGTATACTGATTTCATCAAATCAGAGCTGACTGTTACTATAAAAATTTGGACCACATCTTATCACAAATGCTTGAGAATCTGTGTGCAAACAGAGCAGACTTCCCACTAGAAATGTAAGGACTGGTTGCACTTTTCTGAAACCTAAAGTTATTAGGAGGAAGCCTGACAGAAAGCAAAAA